ACGAGCCTTTCCTTCCTCGGGAGTGTGCCCTCTGACGTCGGTAGCCACCTGAGACATCCGTGTGTCCGCACCACTCCCGCTCGGCTATCTTCTCGCGCAAGATATTCTCTAAATAAGACCGCCCTCGCGGTACTTACCGAGAACTGGCTGTCCCATCAGTCCCGTACCAAATCCAAATCGTGGTGGCCGCGTTCCTTCCGTCTATTCCCATGGTGCCACATCCCGGTTCCACGAGGGTGTCCATCAAATACTCGGAATTTCACACACTCGGCCACGCACTGGCACTAGACCATACCAAAAAAAACCGGGAGCTATGGTTCTCTGCGAGAGATCTCAATAATCGCAGTCTGCGATTATCCGATAGCTCCGCTATCGCCCGAGCACGGAAAAAGGACTTATTTTCTCGCGGTCCGCCGGACACCCGTGTCCTTACACGCGGACTCCCCGCGACACACTCTCCTCATCATACCTACCGTTCTTCGCGGTAGGTCAATAATCAAAACAAGTCTCCTCTCCGGCACCCTCCCCGCGGACCCGCAAACCGTAGCCGTTCAAAGTTCCCAGAGTACCGGCAGTGCGTCCTGGCGGTTGAGCACCCCTTGCATGCGGGCTCTCAACCCAAAAGGGCCCCGTGCCTCCGCCGCCAGTCCACTACTTTCCCCAGTTCCCTCCTCCCGAACCACGGACCTACGAACTCTTTGGAGGTGGAGGCCGGAGGCACTGCCGTGCTGTCGGCAGCGCGGAGGTGCGGGGCTTTTGTAATGTGTCGTCCTGACGCCATGTTACAATAAAAGGAAGCAGATCAATTGTTTATCGTTTTTAATAGGTTTATTATTGCATATTATATCGGATGACTTTATGCATGACACGACAAATTGATCGCTAGTTCACTGTATTAAGAATGCATTGTACATAAATTCTCAACCAAAAGATTGATTTCATTGAGTATCTTGCGATAAGGGAAAAATTTGACAAAAATCAGCGTCTTGGAGATATTAAGAATACTTTTTTTTATCGGAAAAATTAGAGACTTCATTTCATATTTCTCATTTTCTATCGAATATGTAAAATAATTTTTTTAATTCATTTATTCGCAACTTTTTGGCATTATTATTAAAATTAAACATTCTTCCTATCTTCCAAGACGTCGATTTTTTCAGTTTTTATTCTCGTGTCAAAGCACTCAAATTCGAATCAAATCAGATTCTTGGTGGGAAATATACGTGCAATGAATCCTTCAATTCATGATAATTGTTGGGAAAACCATTTGTTATTAAGCCATATAAGAAGGTTATCGTTTATTTCATATTCTTCCCTAATAAGTTGGCGACGATAGAAAACGATTCGATTCCTATCACGCATTTTCATATTAATACATGTAAAAATATGATTCATACAGAATCATATAGCATCATATACGTAATAGAACATGAATTTCATATTGCCATAGATAGACGTACTGCTTATATGAAAATACATATAGGTTGTAACGTAATTCTTTAACTTATGACCCGACACTGATAGCAAAACATACGAGAACGACTATCTTCGAGAACCAACCTACGTTACCTTCGGCCGTCCACCCGTCGTTCGTGCATCCGCAAGCCAGGCGGACGCCAGCCAATTCTTTTTTCACCGGGAACTGACGAGCCGGTATAAACTGTGAGTTGGGGTGGAATAGGCCCAACTCCACCAAGAACGAGAGCTCTGACGGAACCTATCAGACGAGGCGATAGCTTAACGGATCCTGTCGATTTTTGGGGACGCGTAAAATCGAGAAACGCAACCGTAGGTGCTGATCTTTGGGATCGCGTAAAATCAGCAAACGCAACTGGATGCACGAAGGGGAGCGGACGGTTACGGAAATGCACGGCCGCTCAGGCTGCTAGGTTTGAGGTAGAGAGGGTCGGAGTAAGAATCCGGAAAATAGTGCGAGAGACAGAGAGCGACGAACCGAGAACGTATCAGAGCGAATCTTAACAATCTATCGAGATCCCTTCACTAATTAATAAATTGGGAGTCCTCACCGGAGCTGTTGCAGCCAATCCGTGGAGGCCGAGAACTGTATCCAAAGGACACTCTGGGGAGCACTGCACTAAGGCACAGCACTACACCTCCGGAACACTCACAGGAATTCATAGAATTGCCTGGATATCGCAAGAACAACGCGAGAACTGTACGAATCGAGAACTTGCTATACCGTAGCGAAACACGGTAAGAAAATCTATCAACGATAGCACGGGAGCACGAGCCCTCCCGTGACACCTCGGTCGGTGCCCCGAGACAGACTGCTTTGACAATAGCCAAATCCGAGAACTAATAATTCTGATTGGTCGAGAGCCTTATAACCGATAACTCTTCTATCTCCTTCGAGTCGTCCCTTTAAACTAAATCGAGAGCGTTCCTTAGCGAATCGGTACGTGATTTTTGGAGATCCTCCACGGCCGCTTTCCCAGGGCATCGGGCGACAGCTGGGCACCACATCCTTAACTCGGGCAGGAGGTCTCTCTCCTGCCCTTAATCGTATCAAAACTACCTCCGCCCGCTCTACAGCCGTTTGCCCATCTCCAGCGGGGCGCCGGTATCTCACCCGGGCTTCTGCCGGTCCGTGGAGACGTCTCCGTCGGGTACTCTCCTCTGCCGGGCAACTCGGTACGTCGAGATCTCCCCACGGCAGATTCGAGCACCTCGACCTCAGCTAAACAATAACGAAATCTTACGAGAGCCTTGACATAACTATACGAATCAACCCGAGAGCGTAGTTTCTGAGCAGGGTGGCGACCCGAAGGGAACCAGAAATCGAGAACGTTATCTGTATCGGTAACCGGAGCCGCCTTGGGACCGTGATTCGAAAAATCACGTCACAAGGTATAGATTAATATGCTATTGTATTATTACGATAAAGCAACAACCTTATAGGTTCAGATTACATTAGATAGAAACTCTATCATCACTTCAACTTGATATAGATAGGACTGATAGAAAACGATTAAAATCGGCAATTAGTTTTATCGTTTCTTATCGAATTCTATCGTATTTTTTAAGCAGGGATTGTTTGAAATTCGATTTCCATCTCAGCATATTTTTTAAACCATACATGTTTTTATTAATGTAACAAAAAAGAAATTGATTTTTTGAATCTGTTAAACTAGACTCCCTCTTAAAGAGGAATGGAACATGCTATTTTTATAGGTGAGTTGTCACACAGGCGACGTTGGAAACAAGGAAATTTCACACCCAATATTTTCGGTAGAGAAAGTACTGTTAAGTAATTTATTACATAAAATTAAAGTCTTATGATAAAGCATTTTCCCTGCAAAGCCGAATTTTTAAATTATCACTTAGAAAATATTTAAAATCTCGGAAGTGATAGTCTACGAATCTCTTATCGCGACCCGACAATATCTTTACCAGTCCCTATCCCACATTTATCGCATTGTTTCACAGAATCACTGGTGGAATTCAAAGAAAGCAAAGTTTTATGCCTATCAACTTTACACCATGTCATTGAAAATTGTTCTCGTATAGCCAATTATGAGATTTTTGGTGCGAAGTCTGTGAGACAACTCATGCATATAAACAGCGTATTCTATTTTTCTCTATAGTTCTCAAAGTAATTATAGTGAGTCCTGGCGGTTAGGTACCCTTTTCGCGGAATATCTTACTCCAAAAGGGCTTAGTTCCTCCGCCGCCGGTCCACCATTTTCTCCCATTCCCTCTTCCCCGAAGCAAGACCGCTATTCATTTTTTAGAAATGAAGGCTGAAGACACTACCTTCTGGTTACGGTACGTGAAGGTACAGGTTTAGTAATGGATCCCTCTCGGACACCACGTTACAATGAATATATTGATAACCTTTAATATTTTCTTTGGTGAAGATTTAGAAAAAATTGTTTTCTGTGAAGTAATAAATATTTATAATATCAACATTTTGTTATTAGGCAAATTCACCATCAAGCACTACTCTTGGACAAAGCTCGTCAACGAGAGGCACTTTTGGAATTTGAAATGAAGCAATTAAAAATAGAATTAACCGACATGGAAAAAGTATTGGCAGAGAATCAGAACACGATTTTTGCATTGGTGGAGGAAAACAAACGCGTAGATTTATTACGGAAGATGTGCTCTGAACTTAGAATGAATCTTAATGAACAAATAGAACTTGCACAGCAGAAATTCATGGATGTACAATATTTGAGTTTAGAGAGAGAGAAATTATTAGTGCTTTCATCGTACAAAGATTCGCAACTGATTGAACTACGTTCAGCTATAAAGTCAGTTTTTATTACTATTAATTAGATGTATAGGATTGTAAAATACAAGCACTTCGTAATTAATTATCTATCGTTATTTGTTTTAGAGAGCTTCAAAGTCATATTACGGAACAATTATTCGGCTTGGAGGAAGCAAATAAACATTCGAAAGCGAATTCAGATGAGCAAAATTCCGTTATAGTGGGAGGAATTGCTTGTTCTTCGCCAACTTCTACTTCTTCGGAATGTTCTGTCGTGCCGCAAACTTGGCGAGGACTATCTGATATTTCAGTGTCTTCTGTTGACCCTGGTTCATTTTATGGCAGTATTAGGAAAAATATAACTGAAAATAAACCTAAAAATGTGGTAGAGAAAGGTATAGAAGCGCAATTGGAATTTGTTAGTCTACCTGGCAGCGACACGTTGCACAGTATTTCATTGCCAATAAGTAACAACGAACAAATAAAACAAATTGATTCAGGTAAACATAATATTTTTTTTTAATAAAGGGTGTCCCAGGATACGTTTCGAATTTTTATGTACTTTTGCACCAGTATTGGACATGCTATTTCACATATCGATATATGATTGATAATAACAACTCTGTTTTCTTCAATTATATTTTTCTTCTCCTGTAACTGATAATTGTACAGTTATCATTATAATTACCCGAGCAAAATAAACACGAGAGTAGTAAAGAATGAATCGAAGGAATTGTTTGTTAGATTAATTATATATGGTTAAATTATTATATCTGCTTAAGGAGCAAACCTACTAAAGTTGCCATTTTAAAAGCTAATGTGATGTACGGAATGTAACTGACGGAATCTCATTTTAAGGTTAATGATATTTTTATAATATATACGGTGATTGAATTTAGAATGAATTGTATAATTAAAGTAACCACCTACTCAATAATGTTATATAAATGTTACATTGCAGCTACGGAACCAAATATAACAAGTGATATTGCAAGAGTATTACCGCTGTTGTGACTCCAGGTTAGATTCACGAATTCGACTACCGGAATAGATATTCTGGGAATCGGTTAATTTGGGATTCGTTGCTGAGTTAAAAATTATAACTTCAATTCTTGAAAACAAGTAAAAATGATTTATTGAAAAAGACTATCAATTTGGAATCACACTAGTACAGGTTGAACTTTGAGTTCTTTCGAGTAGAAATGGCACGAGGACAAGGTTAGTACTCCGAGTAAATTATTGCAGTGATGCCTCACTCATTTCTCCAATACTCCGTCTGACGGAGTGAGGCCGTCTACCTTTTAAATGTTACTTTTGGAATTTGGAGAGACATATTAACCAGAGGATTGTTTCTGTATTTCATCATGGTTTCAACAATGTGTCTCCTTTGTTTCCATAAATGTGCCGCGTCGGTACCAAGCCATTCCGTCACTTCTGACGTAGGCGCGTAGAAACTTAGTAAAGAATCGGTTTTAAGAACGATTTTCTCCTTCTTGATTGGAGGATCCAATGGAATTAGGTAAATATACAATTAAATATCTTATTGCTTATTTCTTCCGTGTTACGTGTTCCGTTACATTGTAGAATGGCCTTAAGTAATATAAGTGTGTTTAATGGATAAATGCATATATTGTAACATTCGCCTTTTTACCGAGGCAACGGGATAGATAAGGTAAAGCAGGGAGCGTTACTTTCATTCGACTTATTTAGATCTGAGTAGAGTAACTAAAGAAATCTGTTAGCGAAAGATTTTACGAAATAAAAAGCTTTTCGAACAAAATTTTAGGAAAGTTCTTCGAAAACATAATTATGTGGAACTCGGGGTGAACAGTGATGATTTTTAGAAAATACGAAAAATGAGTGGGATAATTTATAGTTATTGTTTTGACTATTGATTAATTTATCGTTAAATTTATTCTATTCGAAAATTCAGGTTTTTTATATCGGGAAGCTAGCAAAAGTGCTGTTAAGATCATGCAAAAGGTATTAAGGGTCTTGCTACTTTAAGGTGCTAAAGTACGCTTACGTCCATGTTCCCTGGTCGATAAATGTATAAGATGATCATAACTATACGACACATGTAATTGTAATAACAGATTCACTTGTTCTGGGTAAAATACTCTTACTAGTGATGAGTAAATAAGCTAGAGAATTTTGGAATAGTATGGAGTTGGGTTAGGTCTCAAAGTCATAAAAAAAAGTATATGGTTTATTTTATTAATTATACAACCCCAAATACAAAGAAATAACATTACTTTGAACAAAACAAGTTTAAAAATTATGTGCGTGTGTGATCATCAGCTTGTATGGGTTTCGGATACAAACAATACATCGATATTTGTTAGAAATGAGTTACTTGCTAGTGGATAAGCAGGAAGAGAGAGAGTGTGTGTCAAAAGATTAGAAAAGAAGAATTTGATGAAGGAAGTTTTCTGGTTCAGCTTCAAGGTGGATACTCGCACTAGACGAATGGTTTGAAAGAAACGCCAAGAAATGAGTTCTTTTCGTGTGGACATTCAGCACAAAAGTAAAGTACTTTCATTCAGTACTAAGGTAAGCTAGATCAAAACGACGCTAAGGTATTTGATCGGTAGAACACTTAATTGACGCGGACAATTGACTCAAGACTCCAGAAGAAATACTGCTCTTCCAGAGGATCGATTGGTAACTACTTATGGTTGGTGGATTCTTCGTAAGGCAAACTTCAAATTTGGAGGGGGTTAGTGCACGATTAGAGATTATTCATGGAAATTGGAACGCGTGTTATGATGAAATAGAGGCAATTGCAAGTAGTTATACAAGGAGAGTTCTGGACAAGATTCCTGCACCGACATATTACCGACCTGTGGGTTCTCATCCGTGCTAAGTTAGGGACGTGGGGCCCCCTAGGTTAGCGACGTTGGCGCCCCCTGTGTATGGTAAGTTAGTGTGATTGGGCCCCGTATGAAAAATTTCTACTTGCCGACGGCACCGAATTTTTTTTTTTTTGAAGAGGGTGCTGCGCGCGCAGGATCTACGGCGCCGACCCCTTCATCGGCTGACGTCATTGGAAGGGGGCCCCAGTTTTACGTCAGGTGTCAGGGATTTTATGGCAGATTTCAGAAATATTACGGCAGGTATCAAGGATTTTACGGCAGATTTCAGAAATATTACGGCAGATTTTAGGAATTTTACATCAGACGTAATTGAGTACATTGACCTTTTGTACGTTACCGAATTTTGTACTTGCGATCTCGAGGCAGCTCCTACCCTTTACATTTCCCCGCAGACTAGCATGTAGAGTCGGCGGAGATCAAGAATGACCCTTCGTATGTCACCGAAGAATTTCGATGACATTTCATCATCGTCATAACCCCCTGTTCCTCTTCCGCCTTCTTCACAACTATCGTTCCGCTACGATACAGTGACCTTGGAGAGACGGTAAAATCAAAGGAGGTGTCGAATAACCCTTTGTACGTTGCCGAAAAAATTGTTTA